TCAATATTTTAAGAGCTTGGATACAAACCTCCCTACAATTCATAATTCTTGTTTACATTTCATATTATTTAATCCTTATTAAAGCTTGATTATCTCAGACATGTCAGAGTTTACTTGTTAAATCTATGCATTATAAGCACAGTGAAGAAAAATATACTGTTTAATTTATGAGATGGTACCATGTTTACTAAGATACTCAAACTCTTTTAACTGTCACACAGTTTCTTCATATCTCACCAGTATCAACATGTCTAGCTAGCTCTTCCCCAAAAATGGATTGTGAAGATCAAACAAGTAAATTCCCTAACTGCAAGGTATAGCAGCAATCAAATCATAGTTGTATGGGCACTATGATAACTTAAGTATTTGCTATATAGAAAATTATGGCAATTCATCCTATTTCACAGAAATAAAATTTACTTTCACTATATAAACAATAGCCACTTGTTTCGTACTCAATGACCTACAATATGGAAGATTCATGAAACATGTTACTTCATGCATGTAGAATGTCACAGAGCAAAGAAAAGTCTATCAAAAACATTAACATACTAAAAATAGCATTTGTACTGTAGCTGTGTAGGAGTACATAGTATGTTGTCATACATCTCGTGGGTGACCAAACTGAGTTAAAGACAACAGTTCTAAGCCTGACCTGTTCTTTATTATTAAATAAAGAAACAGATCTACTGTAATTATAATTTACGTTATACACTCTACACTGACCATAGATTACGTACCTCTGTATAAAAGTAGCCGTTAAATCTTTAGTAAATATAAAAAAAAATTCCTGATTTTTGTGTGTCATGTGGTATGTTGAATGCAGCTTGCTTTGGTTCAAATTAGATGTTTGTGATGTCCAAATACAAAGTCTATAGTTTTTAACGAAGTAAAAACTCAAATTACCAATATTGACAAGCTAGAATATAAAATAAGAACCCCATCTGTTCTATTTGCCGAGATATCACTATATTTAGCAAATCAAGCACAGTTGCCCCACCCACCTCTTCCATTTTTGGAAATACTTCCTTACACTCCTTCATGGCATTATAACCAATCAAAAGCTTAGAATTTTCCCCACATGGTTTTTTCACACTCGCGAAGGTGAAAGTTCTCAAGATTTTTTCTCTTTGTTTTGAATCCGAGAAGAAAAGAGTTAGGTGAAAATGTTGTTTGAAATAAATTCTTTAAAATCCAAATTCAGCTTAGTCATTAAGCCTGATAAACTATAGTGGATTTCTGTGGTAGTGATATAGTAATTTGATTTTTTTTATTTCAAAATGCATATATATAAAAAACCTAAAAATTTGACAAGGATTAGCAAGTTATGACAAGCATCAAACGAGAACAAAGTTCATAAACAGAAGAGGTCATTGTTTTCTACACTTCATTATTTATTGTTTTATGTTTTAAGAAAAATAAATTTAAGAAATTACTTGTAAATAGTAATAACATATATACATATCTAATGTATTATAACCAAAATGCTGGTTCACTAGAACAAAGCCAAGACAAGTCATAATTTACAGGCCAGTTTTATATAATGGATAAAGTAACATGGGTGCAAATGTGCAGCATCATTACAACTTCTATTATGTTAGTCATATACAGTTTAAAAGTCAATAAAAAAAAATATATATATATATAATTTTATGAGACTTAAGGTATTTAGACTAAACATTTATGGTTTCTTGTTATAATTTTTATTCATTCTAAAACAAAAAAAGCATAATTTATATCCATTTACTAATTTTTTATGGTGGTTACGAGGTCAGTCAAATCAACCAAACCCATACAGAGATACAATAGTGAAAATAAGATAAAATATAAAGTTTAAATAAAAATGCTTTATAATTATCTGGAGGTTATAAAGATTTCACATGTGAACTTTGACAATCTTCTGATGCTAAAAGTGAACTTTGACAATCTTCTGATGCTAAAAGTATTTCTAATCTTAAAATCAAAATTACTCTACATGTTGGACAATCACCATTCAAATAGAAAAATACATGAGCAAATAATTACTTAAAAAATCTGATATTTGTGTACAAAACCTTGTGATGTTTACCAATTATCTGCAAAATTTCATGAAAATACATATACTACATTAAAACTTATAACAAGAAAACTATAACGAGCACAAAAGGATTACGAGGTCAGCCCCTGGGACCACGCCTGTAGTGAGAGTTAAGCTGCAGTTTTATTTTTAAAAATACACATATTAGGTCAACTAAACTTCATTAACGAATTTTTCCCTTCTTCTCCAAAATGTGTAATATCAGCGTTTAGTAAAGGACTTTACGTATAATTATAAATTTCAAGTTGATAATATTACTAAACGCCTAACAATTTTTAGAACAATAGGCAGAGAATTTATAATAAAGTTGTTACCCAATTAATTTGCATTAGGTGTCATTACTGTACTTAAAATGAAAGCTTAGTCACAGTCATAAAATTCCATTTTTACTTTCCATCTACCATAATATCTAAATTATCAAAAAAACAATTTACTCCACATTTTTCTCTCATTTTGGTATCATGGTATTCAATTTTTGTAGCACTGTATAAATATGAAAAACACTTCACAGCTTGAATTAAAATGTTTATCAATTTCTATTTTTAACAAGCCTCTCAGTCAAGGTGCATAATGACTGGGGGACACTGATTAATCTTAGAAAAAGTGGAAATTTTTTAAACTTGAACTAATATCTGCAACAATGCACTCTGGTGCCAAAAACTATGAATCTCTCTCTTAGCTCTTTATAAATCATAGTACACTGCAGGTTCCTAGTGTGATAAGTGTGTGAAGCCTTTAGAAGATCATAGATCAGAAGTGGGATCAAGAAGGATATCCAAAAAGTGTTGGCTAAAAATGTAAAAACTGACAGAAATGATTTCTTTATATGTATGAAAGGTAAGGAAAATGTTCGGATGTAGGGCCTTTGCAACATTATAAAGAAAAGCTCATTTCCAATAATTACAAGATAGCTAGGTTACTAAATTCTACTTTTTCTTAAGTTTTTACTAATGAAGGTTTGAGGTATATTACTCATTCTGAACAGTTGCTAGATGTAAAGAAGACCAAACATGATTACATTAATTCTGAGTGTTAAGTAAAAACTGAAAGTTAAAACAATGATGAAACTTCTGGACCATATTTTCCCCACTGGATTTTGAAGGAGGTAAAGGATTGGATGTGTGATTTACTTGCTAATATTTTTTATAATCCCTTGAATAATAGGCAGGTGCCAAGTTTTGGAAATTGGCTAATGTTACACCTTAATTCTCTTTTTAAAAAAAATTGTCCAGGAAGTTATAGGCTAGTTTTGCATCAGTGATGGGAAAATTTTTTTGAAAATTTAATAAAAGATGCTTTATAAAGTCATTTAACAAGTTATAAAAATTTTGTTGGACAGTCATCATGGTTTCACATAGAGAAAATTTTGCATTATTAATTTTTTTTGCATTCTTTAAAGAGATTATTAATGTATTTGATGGTTATGTTGTTGGTTTGGTGTATCTGGATTTTCAGAATGCATTTGACAAGGTGATACACAAGACTTATCAAAATCTCTATAGGTGTGGGGATAGGTTGGCTCATTGTACATAAAAATGGCTGGATGGGAAAAAGATGAAGGTTGTTATAAATAGAATTCATTCAATCTGGATTTATGACACAAATGAATTACCTCAGGTTTTCTGGTTGATCAGTCTAATAATTATAACATCTGAGCAATGTACTGTTGCTAGTGGTGTAGGACAAATATGACTTTGGTTCTATATATAAAAATACCAAGTATAAATCGAAATATATAATTTTATTGTACATGTCACTAGTTAGTCCTCATAGTCCTGTGTCTCCAATTTACAACTAACTTTATACTTTTTTTTCCCACAAGTCAATTCATTTAGATTTTGTAATGTTTTATACACATTTCCAGTAGTACAGTACTGCCACAGATTGTTTTTTTAAATATCATCTCAAGATGACTGTCATAAAAAGAGTAGTGTAATATTTAATATTGAGGTTCAGGTGTTTCATACCTTGTGTTTCCATCACACTCACAAAAAAAAAATGTAAACAAGGATGTACAAATTTTGATGAGTTAGGAATGGTTTTATTTTCATACTTCTTGAAATACTGAAAGAAATTGTCTTTCTAATGAGCCATCACTCAAAACATAAATATATGTGTAGCACTGTAGCCTCAGTGTAGGGTTGATATACTTATATACCCAACTAAAACTTAGAATAGATGAGCTAAGTTTTATAGTAGTGATTGGTCTTTGGAATTGATTGCCATAAAATGTGGTGGGTGCAGTAAACGTAAGGGAGTTTATGGGATGGCTTAATAAATATTTAGATAATAAGGGCTTATTTAGAGGTTTTTATTTTTAAGCCTTGCTTAGTTTCTAATCCAAGTGGATGGGACAGCCTAGTAGTAGTACTAGTAATACTACTACTACTAGTCCTAGATAAACCAACATGTCCTTTGTTCAAGTTGTCGTCCTTAATTTTTAAGTTATGTAACTGGTGCCAGGCAAAACAATTTAAAAATATACTGAAGACATAGTATTAAAAGTTAGGCCTATTTATAAATTATGGTACTATTTAGACAGAAATAAATCCTATAACTAGTACAAGTTATAATCTGAGGGCTTTAAATTAACAAAATCTGCGTTTGAATCAGGACTGATAGTCTACTTAGTAATTAAATTTAGTCAGTAATAATAATAATATATGCACAAGTAGTAGGTTAGGCCTAACTGATAAACTATTACTAGTATCAATTATTGTAGTTTATCTCTTTACGGTTTACCTCAATGAGGCCTAATCTAATATTAATAATATGCACATAATATTAACAAATCAGAATATATACTAAGACTCAATCAAAGTCTTCACAGTATTTCATTGAAAAAGCCTTTCCTTTTGAACATATCCTTCAAAAATACATCAAGTGTACCATAATCCTTTACGATTGTAACACAATTTCTTACCCTCTTGTTCTAGTGACTTCTACCAGTACCAAAAGGCCTTATCACCAACGGCTTTCTTTGTACAACCTCTACGCCTTCCTTGTCCAAGACGCATGTGCGAATTACGTCAAAAGTAAGTATAAACTATCGGTCTTCCCTTGGATACACTAAAATATCAGTTTTTGGAACATAAACCTTCCCTAAAACTCTCGTTTAAAATTTAAATTTTAGTATTGTATTTTAACTCCCTGAAAGAATGTCACCTTTTGTTTTCTATCAATTTTATTGATAAAATAGAGGAGATTTTCTGCTGTTTTAAATTGTAATTTTTTTGCCAAATAATAAAAGTAGTATAGTTATAGTGCATGTTTGTGCTATTATCAGTGCTTTGAGAAATTATATAATGAAACGATAGATTTGTACCGAGTTATATCTATTTATCTTCTTGCCCCCTGATGGCTCATTGGTAAGTCTGGGGTTTATGATGCTAAAAATCGGGTTTTGATACTCGTAGTGAGCAGCACACAAATAATATATTGTTGCGTCAGCGAGGTCACATGACTAGTATCACGCCACTTCTTTCTCGAACCTTCGTGAATTGTCGGGAGATTACTAGATTGGTGGTAGTCTGGTATATATAAGATGGTCACAACGTGACGGGAACAATGTGTA